AGGTGCCTAGTGAAGCAGGTCCGAGGCTCAAAGAGGGCAGGCGCCCCATCCACATAAGGTTGTTGTATCATTTTGTGTCTGATAGTGTGGTACTCTGTGAAACTCGATCGGCTTCACTTAGTCAATTTAACGTCCCATTTTGCATTTAGAGTCATAGGATCCACTTTGAGAAAGAAGCTCTTACAATGCTTGAGGCTTATAAGGCTTGGAGACGGTGGATACAAGTGCTGAGTCGAAAGACTCAGCTCTTTATATAGTCTCTAAGGCTTTGTTCCGGAAATAACTTGATATTGTTGGTAATTTACTTATTAATCAGTTTGTAACTTGTCATGGAAGTGTCTCAAATATATTTTGGAGATTTGATGAGCATTCTACCTAGTATTTAAAGTATCATGTTAGTTTATTGTCCAGAATATTCTAGTAAATGGCATAACTACCCTATGCCTTCCCTCTCAAAGGGATAATGAGTCACTTCATTCTCTTGAGAATATTCTAGACCCTTCAATGAGACAAGATGCGCCCTCCATGAAAGATTACATCAAGTACCGGTATAATTTGGTTCATTCTTATCTAATAATCAACCTTCATTCCTTTCCCATTTCTCAATCAAGTTTAATATAACTTATTATACAAAATCAGCCATATCTTCCTCAATACTTATCCGTTTGAGCTGATTCTTTTTCTATTAAATTTTTAATTAAGTCTATTTTCTCTTTATTTAACTCATCTAGCATCATCTAATATTACATACTCTGTCACCTTATGCAACATGTGGCTGTAGTCAAAGAGGTTAAGTTGCTCGCCCCTGGCCCTATCGCGCTCTTCCTTGGGGACAAAATGTTTTTGCCACCTTCTGCCAACATCATCAAGCCCGCCCTCAAGGCCCACCGTCATTGCCGATTAGTCCAAGAGATTCTCCTCTACTGTTGTAGGGTGTTCCCCTTTAGCATGATGGCGCTCTAGGGTATGCAGCCCCATTCGCAATGCGCCCCTCCATCGTAAAGGTTTCTTATGTTGTGGCTACCCTGGGGGCCGCCCGGCGCCAACCTTCACAAAGTGCCTCTTTGGATTTTACCAACAGTAATCGTGCAATATATAGGAATGGTGAATGGGGCACTGCACCCAATATTTGTTGGAAGTTTTGGTGATTTGGGAATTGAAATTTGGGATCCGCCCTGTTCTAACCCTGGTCTTGACCAAGACCGGGCAGGGCTGAGCCAGGATAGAGCCAGGACTGAGCCAAGACCGGGCCAGGGCAAGGTCAGGACCGAGGTCAGGACTGGCTGGGGCTGGGTTGAAATTGGGGTTATGTGATGCAAGCCAGGTCCAATCCTAGCTCTAGTCCAATCCCGGTCTAGTCGGGCCTGGTCCTGGCCCGGTCCTGGCCCGGTCCTGGCCTGGTTCTGGCCCGGTCCTGGCCAAGTCCTAGCCCGGTCCTGGCCCGGTCCCGGCTCGGTCCTAGCATGGTCTTGGCCAATTTTAGGACAACTGACCAAAATGCCGGGACCGGAAATTGTTTGGTCTTCGCCCCGGTCCTGGTCTTTGTCTGGTCCTATTCTTGCCTGGCCCAACTTTAGCTACCAGACCCCTAGCTTTTACCGCGGTCAGTCACCAACCCAATGGTTGGATTACCTGGGTTCCATTTCACCAAGTGGTTTAATGTTAGGTATAGTCTGAAGGTGTAGAAATCGTACAGTGGCTCAGGATGGACTCCGGCTACTCCCAAGAGTACCAAAACTAGGCGCCCTATGTTGTGTGGGTCTTTAACCTAACCTTTGCTCTGATTGACTTGTGGCACATCAGAAATATCCGCCCACCTTTTGGGACGCCCTCCTGCTAGTCCTCCACGCCCTCATGATGGTTACGGCCAGATTGCAGATCCTGGTCAGCCTCCAATAGTTCCATGGGGAGCAGAAGGGCACACCCCTCAATAGGTTGTGGCAGGCTCTCTAAACCAATGTCCATTTGAGCATTGTGCATCGGCATTTCTAGGACCCCTTGTTTGATAAGCCACTGGAGCATATTCAAAAGGAGGTGCTCAATCAACAACTCAAGTTGGTGACCAAGTTCGTCGTGGCCAAGAACCAAGCTAGTCTTGATTGCACCACTCTCAACATTGGCCCCACGAGAATGTCATCTTCCAGCGCCCGGTATTTCAAGGGGGGGATGGCCAAAGCTTCAATATATTGTATATAGGTTTGGGAACTCCTCTGCCTCCGCCCAAGCCATCCATCTAGAGGACCCTCTCTACACTCGTTTCTATGGTTGTCTTGCTGCTTGGAGATGCATCGGTGCCCCACCCTGGCCCCTTCTATGGATCCATACATGGGCGCCGTTTCAATGGGGCCCAATGAGCCACTAGCCCCCATTGCTCAAAGTGAGTATCTGCTAATGACCCCGGAGGAGTGGCGAGCTTGGCGGGAGGTGCAGGACAAATACCTTGTGATGGGAGCGATCATGAGGATGGCCCCCTCTTCCAGTGCTCAGATTTCATGGGCTTTATTGGTGGTCAAGCCTACAGAGAATGGAATGACCAAGTTTCGCTTGCTCATTGACCTTCAACATATCAATTACTACCTCAAGGAAGTTGGACTCCATTACAAGAATCTTCCAGAGTTTGGATTTCTATAGAAGAAAACATAATTTTTTGGCGGGATTTCACAGCAAGAATGGCTATCATCATATTTGCATAAGAGTCGATCAAGAACATTTCTTACAATTCCCCATGGGGGGTATTCCTTTGTTTATAGGGCTCTCCCGTTGATCTATCTCTCTTGCCATTTTATTTTACTCAATTGATGTTGGTAGTGGTCTATTTCTCAAGGACCTCCAACTCTTGTCCTAAGGCAACTGCACGGTTTCGTTTTGGACACTTAGCGGGTGATGATTCCATTTTGCATTACTGCTTAAAGTACTCGTGGGGGTTTCCTATGACTTTGGACTATTTAGATAATTTCACTGTATCGATGGCGGATCTGGAACAATTAAAAGAATGGCTCAGTATGGGGCACCGAATTTTTGGGACTCTCAGCATTGCATTCAAAGAAAGCAAGTGTCAATGGGAACCAGTGCAATGCAAAAAGCACCTTGAGATTATTACTGACACCAATCGGTGCCAATTTCAGGTACCACGAGAAAAATCCATCGCCAATCGCTGAACAGGCCAAATAGATCAACAAAGTACGTAGTTTCCAAGGGCGGTCAGTTGGCGCCCTTAGACTTGGGCGCGCTCTGGCGGGGCTGAGTGGGGGCAGCTATTTAGGCTCCCCCCTCAGTCCCCCTCCTATCTTGTTTCGCACCCAGCGCTTCTGCCCTAGAAAATGGAATTCTGTTGAGATGAGGGAAGGTGTGGACGGAAGTGCTGGATTAGGGGCCGATTCAGGGCTGAGTCACGGGAGAAAAGTGGCGTGAAGTGTGTGTGAAGCGAAAGGGCAAACTGTTAATTACGGGGACATTGGGTATGTGAGTAGATGGTGATAGACACGTTTTATGAGCTTGTAAACATCTTGTTGTGTGAGGCACATGATCGGGTGAGTTCAGGAGATTGGTCAGGTGGAAACTCATTCACCAAGTTGGATTGTGCAAAATGGGATCTGGTATGAGCGCATAGCAATGACTCTGAATGTGCAGCACCACGTCTGTGTAATTGGCGTACTCGCTGCCTGGGCAGGAGTGAAATGTGAATGGCGCCACAACAAGATGACTAAAAAGCTGCATCCAGTCCCATATGAATCCGACGCTCGGGGCTTTCCCTTATAACCACCAACCTTTTGCTGGGCCAAGCACTCGTCATGAACAAAATGCATATTCTGGACAAAAACATCTAGAATATGGCCCTATTCGAGAATATGGCCGCCCCTGTCCTGGGATATGGCCATAACCTTGCCCACATCTGAAAATATTCCAGGACATGGGCGCATACCCTGGATATATAATGTCCAGGATATGTCAATATTCTGGATATGCATAGCCAGGATATGTGCCATATCAGAGTCGATATCTAGGATATGAGTGCCCCCCATGCCTTATGTCATATCCAGGATATGGGAATTTTAACCAACGTTCGCAACTGGATAAACTCTCCAGGTTATCCAATACAATCAGGGTATCCTTTTGTGTCACAGAATCACGGTGTCGCGATGGTGGCCTAGGCTAATGAGAAACAAAAAGTGCAGCCGCAGAATTCGAAGATAGACATGAAAATACCATCAGGAACGGGGGCGCGGCATTACATGCACACCATCCAGAATGCTACACTCACGATATGCACCCGCAGTAAATTGCTCACACGAATTTGCAGAAAAAAACACAATGCCATATCGGTCTTCCACTCCCCTGTCACAATGGAAATCGCCACAATAGAATTCTATTGTTGAATCTTCGAAGATTCAATGGATCACCATGTGGGTTCGACGTCCAGTAACATTTAGGCTGCAGGGTCACATTCGATGACCTTTCAAGTGAAGTGGATCGCATGCGCATCCCACTGCGGATGAAAATGCACTGCTCATGTTCTCTGCACAACGTGGAATGGGAAAGCTAGAGACAATTCCCTTTATTTCATCTACATGACGAATTCATTCTTGGCCTATGTCATTCGCCCATCAAGGCGTTCCTGCAGACTCACTTTACTTCTATGAAGCTCAGTCTATGACCAGTATATCCTGATTGCAATGCGCACACCTCAACAGCCCGATCTTCCACAGTCGCGCAGTCATTGCATATTGCCTTCAGCGCGTCCACCCCAAATGCGACAGCCAAATGCAACCATGATCAACTCGGGGGACGGGAGTCTTGAGGCGCCGCCACCAACCTCAACAGGAATCGAAACTATTCCAATGAGTTTTGTGTGGTCATTGTTCGCACCTGTTAGATTCCAATCATCGGTCCAAATGGAACTCGATCTACTCGGGCTGAGGTGGGATCCATTGATCATAAGGAGTTTTATGTGCAATTGAAATGGAATCGATTGAAATGCGTTCAACTGGAACCCAATCAATTCACTCGCTGTGGGGGCGATTATCAGAGACAGGGTTTGTCCTAGCCGGTACATGTCTTCTGACACGCTGATTTAACTCTTCAAACTCCCGCATCGCCAGAGCATCCACAAGCCAGGCACAGAAGATTGGCATCGCCACCCCGCACAGAAGCAGTTTCACCCTTAGTATGGCGTTCCACGAATAATTTGTCATTGTCCATAGGCAGAACGTGCTGGCAATCTGCAGCGCGATTTGCCAACCCTTTGCCACCTGCACGCCACCAACCCGCTTATTATTTGCCAGGCTGGGCACATCGTTTATGACGCAATTGCTGAAGACAATGCTGATTTTCTGCGGCCATCGCCTGTATGTGTCACAGAAGGGGCGAGTAGAAAACGATGAAAGGGTGAGGGCCGGAAAACCTTAAACAAATGGCTTGAGCTTAGGTTCCACAAGTTTTGCCAGCAAAGCACTTTTATTTGGGTTCTTGGGCCTCAGCTATCGAGGAGGGTCTGAGATTACTGTCAACTTGACTCACAGCGCGACAAGATCTCTCCGGGGTTGTGCCCCATAACGTGAACGCAAAATCGCGGCCCGTGCAATGGCCGACCGGCAGCGGCCTCAATGAACATGCACCTTGCGGCGTCGCCATGCTCGATTGCGACATCCGACTGTTGCTGTGACATTTGTTGGATGAAAACACGGAAATACTGCTGAAGTTACTGTTCCCTGGAATCCAAATCCAGACTACTAATAGGACATAAACCACCGACACGGAGACCTCGATGACCGACGCCGCAGACGCGCTCCCGACGCTGGCTGCCCATGCCTCACCAATCTTCATCTCCTCCGCGCAATGTGGCAAAGCCACGGGACGTCCCTTCGCCGCGCCGCTGGCGGCAGCCGCCGAGCCGCCCGTCGATGGCGCAGACCGCCAGGCAGAGCAGGGCTCCCCCTGGCCACCCACCCAATCTACTGTCCGAAACCACCAAAAGAAAACACAGCTGTGGATGGACAGAGCACTCACCTGATAAGCGCCGATCCACAGCAAAAACGTCCACATCCAAGACATCACCGGCGGGAAGCATTCTTCCGAGGCGCCCTCGGCACAGGAGGCGGGCGGGCCGTCGTGCAGCGCCATCCACACCGGCAGCAGACGGATGAGGACGAACACCGGCCCGCGTACCCGTGAGATGTACGCGCGCCGAAAGGCACAGCTCCGGGCATCGGCGCACAGCGCGGCGGCCACTGGGACGGCGTGTAGGGCCACGATGGCCAGCCGCATGGCCCTCAGCCCGGGCGATCCCCCGCCCAGGAACATACCCCCGCCGGCCTCGGCCCCTCCCCCGGGATGCAGGTCCGAGGCGGCGCCCAGCTCCCTGTGCACGAAGACGAGGTAGTACCCCGAGAGGTAGAGGCCCGCGTAGAGGGCCTCCACGGGCATGCGCTCGCCCTGCACCCACTCCGCGAAGGAGGAGTCGTCGACGCCGAAGGGGGAGCCCAGGTACCGCGCCCACGCGGCCGCGGCCCGCACGCCCGGGGTCGGCTGGGGGCGAGCCATCCCACCGCGGAGGTCCGACGGCGCGGCGCCGGGGGTTAAGAAATTGCGCCCGGGAGGAGCCGGCGGCCCTGGAGCGGTGTGCCTCCTGCCCGTGACGTCCGCCTCTGTAGGCGCGTGAGGGCACGTGGGGGGACGGGCATGACGCACATGGCGCCGGACGTCGGCCGGGCCTCGTGTCGCGCGGGCGGCAATTGCGCCGCGTTGATGGGCAAGGTTTGTTACAAAGAGGGAAAGGAACGAGCCATGCAAAGGGCACCCCATCCTGAGCAAGTGTGTGCGGGACTCTTTTCCGTGGCGTCGAAAGATGATGTGGAGCCTCCGATGCGTAACAATGAGTGCGCGCAACGCAAGCAGACGTGTTGGCGGGGCGCGCTGATGCGTGTTTTCGTTTGCGAGTAAAGTCAATCTGTGCGTGCCCGGGTGGGGTGCCCCCGGCAAAGTCTGCGGCAGCAGGAGCCCAAGCACGTGAAGCCAAGCCATGGGGCTGGTGTGGGCGTGTCTTGTGCCACAAATATGGCGCCAGATCTTTTGCAGCAACAGGGCCCATGGAGACGCGGGAGCGGCAAGTAACCAAAATACACTATGCGGACACAGTTGCACGTTTTGTAATGCCATTAAGCAATGTAAAGTGTTCAATATGATGGGGCCTAATAGGTTAAAAAAGAAAGATTGAAATGTCACATCCCACCAGATGGAAAGAAAGCCCAAGGAAGCTATCCCATTCTACCTAGGGCACATCATAATAATGGCATTTGGCCATCCCATTCGAAGGAAGGATGATGGCCAGTTTGAGACGTTCATATTGCCCGTGCGGCCAATGTTCGCACTATCGATGTGAATATAGATCATGGTTTGAGCATCCACGACGGCATTGGAACTCCACCCGAGAGTGCACACCCAAAACGCTGTCCACTACCCCGCACACAGTTCTGCGTCAATATGCATACCTCTCCCATATCCGAATACTTCGCAGTCAATGTCAAACATGAACTACGACATCAGCGTGCCTCAGAAATCCTTTGGGGAATGCATCCCACACACAGGACTCTGTCGTTGCACTGTACAGTAGAATCTGTCCCCCACCAAGTTGTTTGTGCCATTTCGCGTCTGTGCCAAAACCTAACCATGTCTGTCCCAACAGAACCAACCTACTGTCAACACAAATGCGCACAACAAAGAGGATTCGATCAATGCCGCGAAGAGGCAGCAACGAATGGGATGCCGCCCAGAAAAGGTGTCGCCAAAAACATAATTAAATACTCAGAACTTGATTCGGGTACATAGGCTTCTGTGGAGGTGATGTAATGGATCGGCTCTGAACTAATATCAACTGAACAATAGAGGCTGATGGCCTTGTCATGCTGTGATCAAAGTTCCAAGGGAACTGCAAAGCGATCAGGTTCCTGCTGATGATTGCTGCAAAATATGTGAAAAGGGGAGCTAACGTGGTAAATCCACCCCTTTGGCACAGGGGCGCAAGTTTTTTCTCCATTTTTTGTCGAGCCACTAAAACTTTTTGCATCGTTATTTTAATGATCGGCTAGAAGGGCAGCGTTGATATCTTTCAGCAGATCCCACTCTGCCTAAGAATGCAGAGCAAGCAACTGGCCCAAGTGGTAGTGAAATAAAAATCTACCGTATCAGCCCCGGAAATACACGGCCAACGGCCTATGCGTTTGCGCATTCTGCCCACCTAAGCCATGCCTGCATAGCTACATAGCTATGTAGCCATATACGGGGATATTCACACGTCTGCCATTTGGGGTGATTGACAACATGCAGAAGAGAAGAGGGGCCAATGGAGATAATAGGCTGGGACAAACGGCAGAGCCCAACGCGGATGGATCAACCACCCTGTGAGAATGCAAGGGTCGCTTGCCTTGCTGTGGAGCTCTTAAGCACATCGAATAGGAGACTGTTGCAGCAATTTACCAGCCCGGTGCGATTGCAGAAGATGTGCGGATGCCCAAACCACACTAGGGAAAAAAGGGCCAAATAACGCTTTTGCGAACACTCCTAAAACACAATTCATCAAAGTTCTGCACGCTAAGAACACAAAAATAACACAAACCCGTAAACTTTGTACATGTTTGAACACGTGTTATTTGGCCCTTTTTTTCTAGTGCCAGGAGTTCACGGAAATGTGGTCAATTTCCTGGTTGCTGCATGTTTTTGCATTGCTTCTGCTGTTGCGCCATTGAGCCACCTTGGAGCGTAGGAAGAGGCCGTTCTTGCAAGATGGCAATTGTGCTTTCTGATGTGGTACAAGAGGGATGCACTGTGTCGTGCTGCCGCCCAATTTCAATGCCCGTGCTGGCCGCTCCTTTTCAGTGCAAGCCTTGCAAAGCTGCCAATGAAGACTGCTTGGTCCTTTTGTCAAGGTTAGTGTGCTCGTGCTCATTGCGGAATTGGCGTGCCCTGCGTGTCAATCACACTTTCTCTCCATTGACATCCGCTGGCCTCATCTTGCCGATCTTCTCTAAAGCATGTGTTGAGCCACACAATTGTGCATTTGTTATTCTTTTTAGGAAGATGCACGACCAATAGAGACGCCTTTTTGATGGTTTTCAATGACGTTGTCCCCCTGCCTTTTTTGTGATTGTCGGTCCTTGTTTCGACACCCCAAACTCTAGAACCACTGACCCACTGACCCCACGTTGGCCTTGTCAGCAGAAGAAGGGATTTTCAAGAAAAAGAAGTGGGGGGCCAATACATTCTGCTGCTTGGTGAGTCACGATCGCCGTCGGCATGACGTCAGCGTCCTCATCAGCAACGCTCCAGTACTTGTATGCCCACTGACACTCGCAGAGGGAGTGCTGTTCCCCGATCTCAACGCGCGAAGCGGCTCGCCAGCGAGCAGGAGCTCCCAGTCCCTCTCCGCGATGTCCCTCGCGGCGCCTTCGAAGGGTCTGGCGCCCAGGGCTCCTGGGCGCACGGAGGCTCAGGCTCAGGCGCAGGCGCCGGTGTGCCTTGGCCGTGCGTCTCAGCCGGGAGCGCTACGGCTGGGGCATCTGGCGGATGCCGCGAGCCGGCACCGCAGTTGCCTGTCGATCGGCCTAACGGGACCGTTTCAGAGACTGAAAGGTGCGCCGCTTCCGCTTCCGTATCGGTCGAAAGGTGCCGCCTGTCCTGTTGTTGGCGCCTGTTTGGAGCTGTGGAGCGCTGACAGGGCAAGAATGCGGGCGTCACCGCCGCTGCCTGACGGAAATTGGCCGAACTCCGTCGGTTCGTAGGATTGACTTGAAGGCGCTGCACGGGTACCAGCCATCTTTACATCTGCATGCTCTTGAAATGGTCTTGCGGTGTTCCCTGCGCTGCAGATTCGTGCCGCGCTACGGATGGCAATGGCTCTGACGAGTCTGCCACGGTGGGTCACGTGTGCTCTTGCTACTGCTGGTCAGTTAGCACGGATTCCTCACGCCTGACGGCATCGGATCTGGTCCTTGTCCTAGTATTTCTCTAAGCCGGTCCACCAACTTGAAAACCATCCTGAGACCATCCCTGCGTACCGTCCTGTGAGTGGTGCCTGTGCTAGGCCCTTGCGTCCTCTACCGCTGGACGCCTCTAGATGTGGGTGTCAGTACCCTGGTTTGCAATTTTTTTCCTTCGCAAGACGAGCAAGTCGTTGGCAGGATCAGGCAAAGATAGGTACAAATGCTGAGCCGTTTGGTTGTTCCCTTTGAGAGTTCTGAAGATTGTTTGGTACCGATGCGGGAGATGTCGCTGATGTCATTCTCACTTGATTGCCTGGCACAGGCAGTTGAGGGACCCAGCTATGACAAGCTGCTTCTGACCATCTCGGATGCGAATCCGTACTTGTCCGATGGCTCTCGGCAGGTGGGGCTCAAGGATTTACAGTCAGCGCAGCTGAGTGAGAAACCAACTTCTTGCCCTGGATCACGATGCCTGGAGCAGCATATCTTGAGCTTGTTATAATTCAGCTGGATGTCAGTTTTGAAGCTGTGAGCTCATTGCTGACATTTTTCAGCCTATCAAAATCCAAAGGCAACCTGTTAAGGGGCACAAAGTGCTGGGCCTGTTGATTGGCTTGCAGCCTCCAGCAAGCTTGTAAAAGAAAAAAAACTGCAGCACTTATCCCACGATGGTTCACGACTGCCCCATGACGGAATTGATGCCCATGTGCTCACAATGTGATGCAAGCAGCAGGACCAAGATCAATACCATTGTCCATTTTCCTCACTGAATGGTCCATGAATGCAGCTTCATTTTTCCATGTCCTGTGGGCAATGTTCTCCTGTGGAATTTGCTGTGGCAGGCTCTAGCAATGACAGCAGGACTGGCGTCCATTCACAAGAGCAAGGTGACTGTTTTGATGGTGGAAGAACCTGGGGAGGCTCAAACGTCCATGGAAGCACGCTCTGAAGCAGTTTCGAAGTGAGGATTGAGAAGTCTGCCTGTGCCAGCCATGCCATGCATTCTCAGTTCCATTTCAGCTGTTACTATATGCCAACCTGGCCGTCTTTTGCAATGTGGACTGGCTTGTGTGTTGTTGTGAAGAAAACAGTTTTGGATGCATTCAGGATTTCACAGTATTGTAATCTTTCTTTGAAGCACTCTGATATTACTCTCTGGTCCACATCCATACGTTAAAGGGTACTGCTGTTCGATGGGAAACAAGTACGGAAGGATATTGCAGACAAACACGTTTGGGCATGAAGTGTGCCCAAAGTCGCCCAATATGGACAAGGCCAATGAATGGTGGCCTATTGATGCATGCAGTTAATATGGATGTCTGCCAACGTCACAGGTGCCATATGCCAGACGATCTGCATGACTTTGCTGTCCATTCTGCTGGCACCTCACAAATGCAAATATTGATGTATGCAATCTTGCAATATAATGGACCAGTGTTTGGATCTTCT